GCAGTATTTGGTGCAGATGCATTGTGAAATGTTATTTTGCCTGGCAGCCGCTGTCTGGGGCACCTGCACTTTACGCTTTACATTCGCCACCCTGCACTTTACACTCTACACTTCACACTTTACACTTGCCACCCCCCGCTCTACACTTTACAGTCTACACTCTACACTTTTCACTTTGTACTTCACACTTTACTCTTTTTCGTGTGGACACTACACTCTACACTTTATACCCCCCTGTACAGATTACACTATGCACTTACATACTCTACACTTTCACTTCGCGCTTTACACTTGGCACTACACACTTCACACTTTACACTTGAAACTCTACACTCTGAACTTTACACTCCACACGCTACACTTTACACTTCACGTTTTGCACTTGACACTCCGCACTATACACTTTACACTACACAGTCCACACTTCTACAAACTACACTTCACACTATGCACTCGGCACATTTTACCCTTCGCACTTTACACTTTACGCTCTAAGCTCTACATTCCACACTTCACACATTGCACTTTACACCCCGCACTTTACACTCTACACTTTACACACTACACTTCACACTTTACACTCTAAACTTTACAACTGGCACCGCGCACTCTACAGCTTACACTCCACGCTCTGCACTTTACACTTTCCACTCCACACTTTACACTTCACACTTTTTACTTGACACTCCACACTACACTTTACTCTTTACACTCCACACCCTGCACTTTACCACACCCTACACTTTACACTTTCTACTTTGTACTGTACACTTGACCGCCCACACTCGACACTTAACACTTTACCTACACTTTACACTTTGCACTTTGCACTTCACACTTGACACTCCACACTCTACACTATACACTTCACACTTGACACTTGGAAACCCACACCCTATTTACACAGCACGGATCAAGTCCTAATGCGAAACTGTCTTGGATTGCGCAACTAATATTGCGCAACTATTTGGTTGTATTGCGCAACTATTCTTTCGCAACTAGTTTTTCGGAACTAATTGGTCGTATTTCGCAACTACTTGGTCGTATTTCGCAACTCTTCTTGCGCAACTCGTATTTGGAAACTACCGTCTCTAACTTTCCGCAACTATTCCTACGCCAATTATCGCCAATTACTGGGTGTGATAAGTTTGACCCAGCTGCGCACTTATGTGATGCCACGCTCGCGATGGGGTGGGGAGGTGGGGTGGGGTGGGGTGTGATAAGTTTGACCAAGCTGCGCACTTACGTGATGCCACGCAGGAGTTGAGTTGGGGTCGGGTGTATTGCTTGAGCTTTTGCATACGCTCTATACCAACGAGATGCCTCTTTGCTTGTTTGTGCATGACCATGAGCCGACACTTTACGCTCGACACCTTAGATTTTACGTTTCACACTTTGCACATCTCACTTTACACTTTACACTCAGCGCTTTACATTCCACACTTCACACATTGCACATTACACCCCGCACTCTACACTCTACACTTTACACTCCACACTCTACACACTACACTTGGCACTTTACACTTAAAATTTTACACTTGGCTAGACACCGCGCACTCTAATTACAGTTTACACTCCACGCTCTACACTTTCCACTTTACACTCCACACTTTGCACTTTATACTTTTTCCTTGATACTCCACACTACACTTTTCTCTTTACACTCCACGCTCTGCACTTTACACTCCACACTCTACACTTTACACTTTGTACTTTGTACTTGGCCGCCCACACTCGACACTTAACACTGTACCTACACTTTACACTTTGCACTTTGCACTTCCACTTGACACTCTACACTTTACACTTCACACTTGACACTTGGAAATCCACACCCTACACTTGACACTCACACTTTACACAGCCTCCCACACTTCACGCTTGGCACTACACACTTTACACTTGACACTCCACAGTCTACACTTTACACTCCACACTGTACACTTACCACTTGACACCCCACGCCCCACAGTCTACACTCCACACTCCACACTCTACACTGGACACCTTACATTTTACGCTTCACACTTTACACTTCACTCTTTTCACTTTACACTCTACGCTTTGCACTCCACACTTTACACTTTATACTTTCACACTTTACACGTAGCGTCCTCATCGCACAATCATCACCTGCCGCAGATACAAAATAGGCTGCAGCCACGGGTTGCAACATCTAGGAGGTTTTCCTCTCTATGTGTTTCGACACCTGTACCATTAACATACGTGTGAGGATTCGGGTTTGTGGGCTGCGTCTTGTGCAATGCCAAGTCATGCAGAGATACCCAACAGGTGAACTGATGGCCTGAAAGATTCGATCCTGTCCGAGTGCCTCGCTAGAGTAAAATCATGCAAATTTGGCATAAATTGCCACGTCAAGCAAATGACAATTTTGCGCAATCTCAGGATGCAGCCAGGCAAGAGCGGCTTCGTATCAGGTACAACGATCGCCGCCTCAAGCGCCGACGAGATCGCATACAGCAGCAACGGATTGCTGATGTCCGATAAGAACCGGATAGAAACTGTAAGTGGCTCAATTGTTTGCATTTGCCCGACTCTAGCTGCGCTGGGCACGCTTTGAATCCCCTGCGGACCGTGGACAGACATCAATAAGTCAGACGATGCAGCAACTGGTTGGGTTCAACGTTGCTCTACTCCCCGAGTGGTTCAGACATTTTCTTTGGTTTTTTGCACTGCTAACGGATGCCAACGGTTTAAGTCTTGTTTCGATTTTTGACATGGAAGGATATTGGGCCCCGGTCTGTAGCAGTGTCATCGCTCTCTTTGGTGGTGCGATTCGCGTGCAGTGCACAAGGGTGTGTATCTCCAGATGAAGCTACTTACATTTCAGGTCAGTTGTTTGATTTTTTTTTGTCATATACCTGAAGAATTTTGAAGATCTTCAAGACGTGTCATTTCAACGAATTCAGCACGCTGTTCAGGATCTGGTTCTGGTTGGATTGGAGAGGGAGACCAGCTGTAGCTTCAGTGCTCCTTTCCGACTTGACAGAGCATTCGCTCAGAACCAGAGTGCGCCTTATTGTAAAGATTCAATAAAGTTTTTGGTTTAGATATAGACTATTGAAATGAATGCTTTATTGAAATAAACTAATAAAAGTTATTGGTTTGACATCCTAAAAGTTATTGGTTTGACATCCATTTTCAATAGGAGTTATTGGTTTAAACCAATAGAATTTATGGTCAAAACCAAGAAGGTCTAATGGTTTGAAACAGCATCAAGAACAAAACAGTTCATGGTGGCATGGTGTCTCCAGCACATGTTTCAGAACTCCCACTGCTCGAAAGAACTGGCAGCCACTGTCTTGCAGCCACCGGCTCCAAATTATCAGCCAACAACAACTTGCAAGGCTTAGGTCTTGCAAAGGGGCTCTTGTGAGGTCTGGGTCTTGGGAAAAGGCTCTTTAGGTCCTTCAACAGGGCTTGCCATGGCAGTGGAACTGGATCCCTTGGATGCTTTGGACCAAACCCTCATCTGTGGGAATTCCAGACCTGGTGCCTACCCCTACTGGTGCTACATCCAATGTGAAGAGTGTGGTGTGGGCTGGATCTGGATAGAGAAACTAGGGAAGGGTGAGCCATGGACTCTGAAGTGCTACCAGACATGGAGGCAGAGCTTCTACCTCAATGGTGGATGGTAAACCCTATGACCAAGAGCAGGGAACTTTACCATTACCCAGGAGTTTTCCTTTATTGGTGAGTTGCCTTGCACTAGCATTGGGCCTTGCAAAAGGGCTAGCATGGGCCTTGGCAAAGGGCACCAAAGATAGCCAGGGAACAGGTCCTTGGACCACTGGAAGCTCCACTGCTGGAGCAGTCTTTTAAAAATTGCAGCAAAAACGTGAAGCAAGCTGAGAGGAACTCGTGTCAGGGGTGACCACACTGCAACCAATGCTCATTCCCAAAAGCATGTCCCAGAGATGAGGCTTGCTGTAGACCTTCTGGCTCAAACTTATTTACTGGCATTGTTACTGGCCCATTAGGCCTTGAAAAAGGGCTTGCCTGTGTTCTGCAAAAGGGCACCATCTGCTTTGGCTTACTTGGGTTCTGAAAAAGGGCTCTTGCTGCCATGGTTCTCATGAAAGCTGCAAAAGGCAGGAAGAATGGTGGAAATTCAGCCCCTCAGAAGAGGCAGCCTTTCCCTGAAGTGGATCAGGAAAAGTTAGATGAGGTCCTGCACAACTACTGCAGAAGCATGGGAATCAAGGAGGCTTTCAACTTGTACCAGTACAAAAACTTGCAGGCCCAGCAAGCAGAAAGCCCCAATAGCATTCAGAAGCTCACAAAGCTCCTGGATGCCCTTCTGACTGTGACTTCCACTGCAAAGGTGAAATACAAATACCTGAGGCAACCCTTCACACTTCTCACCCAAACATGGGGGTCAGAGCTGCTTGCAGCCCACTGGGAAGCAGAGACCAGCCTACTCCCTGGAAGAGCTGCAGATGCAGTTGGTGTGCTTTTGAAGCACTGGAGAAGATGTGCCTCGAGTGATGTGGCATGGGGCAAGCTGATTTCCAAGTGTGAATCAGCTCCAAGGTTTTGGAGGTGCTGAGGAAGAGGGCTTCATGGGATGGCAAGGAGAAAGGAAAAAGGGTGCTGAAGAACAACATCTCAGAAGTGAGCATGGATTCCCAAGGTTACACCAGCATGACAGCCATGAACCCTGCACTTAGTGAAAAAGAAGGTGAAGATGAGAGTGATGAGGAAGGCAGCAGCTGTGACATGGAAGGGTTACCTCCTTGCCTGAAGAAGGATTGGAAAGCTCTGGCAATGAAAAAGCCTGCTGCTGCCATTGGGCATGAGCCATCTGAGAGCCTTATGAAGACATCTGAGAGCCTGTGAAGAAGCCTTCTGCATCCAAGCCCAAAGTTGGCTTGAAGACTAAGGGCCTTGCTAAAGGGCTTCTGAAAACTAAGGGCCTTGCAAAAGGGTTCAAGGAGGGCATTGAAAAAGTGCTCATTGACACATCCACTGTGTCAATGGGAGGTGGCAAAAACCAAAGGTACTTGCAGCACCAGCCTGGCCCTGATGGCGCCAAGAGGCTCATAGCAGCTGTCACCTTGAACCAAGCCAGCAAAACAACAAAAAGCCACCAGCAGCTTATTGAGCTGTTGCTTCCAGCTGCCAAAACACCAGGTGCAACCAAGGCACAGGTGCTAGCAGAAAGAGAAGCTCGTTCAAAAGTTTGCAAAATAGGCCTTGCAAAAGGGCTTCTGGAGACACCGCACTGCAAGTGGGAAAAAGCTGTGGGTGGGCAGCTGCTTGGGCATGGAGCATGAAAGCAGCCATGTTTGCCTGTTTGTTTGTGTCACTACTTGGCCTTGCTTGGAATGCCAACCACATCCCAACCTGCAGCTTGCTAGCTCCAGCACACAACCACTTTGCCCTGCCCTGCAGCCTGCAGGGGGGGAATGCAATTGCCTCACTGGGTCTTGCACAAAGGCTCCCATCAACACAGGCCTTGAAAAGAGGCTTTTGGGGTTTTGAAAAAGGGCCCAAGGAAAACAAAGCGATGGCCAGCAGCTCCAGTGACAGCCAAAGGAGGAATAAAAAGCCTTCTTGGGCAGACATGGTGATGGAAGGGCCCAAAAAGGCTTTCCCAGACAAGAAGAAGAAGTGGAGGAAGTGGAGGAAGTGGAGGAAGAAGAGTGGTGGCACAAAGGCTGGAAGAAAGGTGGCAAGAGCTGGGATGAATGGTGGAAAGACAGAGAAGATGAATGGCAAGAATGGAAAGATTATGAGAGGGAGGAGGGAGAAAAGGCTAATGCCACCAAAAACGAAGCTGATAAGATGAAGCACCAGTGCAAGAAGGAGGAGGAAGAGGAGTCTGTTCTCCAAGGTACCCCAGCCAGGTGGAAGAACAGAAATGGCTCCACAAAGGAAAGGGGCAGGAGGAAATGGATGGAGGGAAAAGCAAGGGAAGCAGGCCAGGATGAAGACCATGTCGACCTGGTGAAGCTGGCCGCCTTGGGCAACAGCAGGATGAATGGCCACCAGGCAGCAAGATAGGCTGACCCAAAAGGAAACAGCAGAAGCTGCAGAGAGAGCAGCCACCCAGGCTGCACAGGCAGCCCAAGCTGCCCAAGCCACAGCCCAGATGGCACAGTGGCAAAGCTGGCAGTTCATGTGGCAGTCCCAGTGCTGGCAGCAGGGGTATTACTACTACCTAGGGCAGTGGGGCCAAGGAACTGGAAGGAGCTGGATGCCTCATCTGCATTTTTGATTTATTAAAATTGCATTTCTGTGTGTTTGACATGGCAAGCCATCAGAAAGGGCTATGGTTGAATACTCACATGTCAGCTGTGTTTGTTTGAAATGCTGCCCAAACCATTTCTTTTTCTGCCAGGAGCAGAGAGTGCCAGCATGCTGCCTGCGCAAGATGTGATCCTTGCTAAAGCTGGAGGACTGCTAGGTTCCAAATACATGAGGGGGAACCCCAAGCAAGATTGTAAACCACCAGCCAGGTTTGGCGCTTAACCCATGAACCTTTGGGCTGCAGAATTAAACTGCCTTTGGTTTGAAATGCCACTTTGGGTTGCTCACTCACAAGCCCATGGCACCTTGCCACAACCTGTCAAGCACTAGTTTCAATTTCCCTGTTGGCAAAAAAAAGGAACCATGGAATATGATCACCACAATAATTTGGCAATATATGAGTTCCACAATCCATGTTTTTCCCTGCAGTGTTTGGCATGCCCCTCTCAGGAGCCGAGCCTGGGAGGCCAAGCACCAATAATGGCAAGCAGGAAGGTGAGAGGGGAGTGAGGTCCAAGGCCAAGGCCAAGCCTGGTGCAAGGCCTGAGGGATGGGAAGGTGCAACCCCCTCATCCCACAGGGATGCAGGGGGTGACACTGGGTGGCACATTGCCCAGAGAAGAAAGAAGAAGGCCAAGCAGCGAGCCTTGGGCAGGAAAGCAGGTCTTGCAAAAGGGCGTCTACAAAAAGGTTGGCCCTGCAAAAGGGCTTCCTAAAAGCCAAAGGGTCCTGCAAAAGGGCATCTCAAAATTGTACAGCAGCCTTTAAAAAAGGCAAGGGCACCAACAGAGACCACAAGGTACAGCAGAAGAAAGGCTGTGGTGCTATCTTGGGTGCAGAACCCAGCAACCTCATATGAGCTCATATGATATCATATGAGAAAGCCTTGCCTCATATGAGGCAAAACTAGCCTCATATGAGGCAAAAAAGTCTCATATGAGGAACCCTTGCCTCATATGATATCATTTATATCATATGATCTCATATGAGGGCTTCTCATTTTTGAGGTGGCCATAGAAAACAAAGAAACTGACAAAGTGTTTTTTTGTGCAGCTTGCATGCCCACTGGCAAAATTGCCTGTGGCAAGGGTAGCAGCAGCAAAGGTGCCCAAGCCTACTGGACAGTTTCTTTTGGCTTACCAGCTACTTAGCTTTTTCAAAAATCTTTGGGCCTGCCAAAGGTTCAGGTTGGGCCCTGCAAAAGGGCATCTTGGACATAGCTCCTGCAAAAAGGAGTTGGCCAAGATGCCACCCAAGCCAAAAGCCATGAAAGTTCTGAAGCTCAACCTGAAAAGGCCAGCTGGCCACAAAGAGGCGGAGAAGAATAAGCAGGGCATGTCCTTGGAAGAGAAGATGGAGCTCTTTGCCAAGCACAAAAACAAGGATGCGAATGAGTTCTTGGATGGTTTGGCTAAGAACCAGAGGGAAGCTCTTTGGCAAAGGTTTGCCAGTGCAAGGGCCTCACTGAAGGATGCAGAGGCAGACAGCATGTGGCAGAAGGTTGCCAAAGGCAAAGGCAGTGACCCTGCCAAGAAGGAGCTGCTGTCCACCTTCTTGAAGATGGGGGGTGAGCTCAAGGGCAAGAGAGACTTGTTGCGCAAGGAGCTGATCACCTACACCAAGTCTTCTGGCTCCGTGCCAGCTTTGGTTTTCACAGGGACCTTGTTTTTGGTTTGCAGGCCTTGTCAAAGGGCTTCTTGTCCTGACCCAAGCCCTTGAGGCCAGAGGAACTCAGAGGAGTGGGTCCCCATTTGCCACAATCTTGAAAAGGTTTGGCCTCCAGGAATGCCTGCGCAGAGCACCTTGCCAGCAAAAAGAAAATGGTTGTGTGCCTTGCTTGCCTCTGTCTGCAAGAGTTGTTCCCCCAAGGTCAACAGAGGCTCCATAGCTTGCAGGCGAGACACCATGGACAAGCATGAGTGGCAGTTTGCCCTCAGGAAGACAGTGGTGTGGAGTGAGGAAGAGGTGAAGCATGGCCTCCATGGTGAGAGTGCGGCTACACAATGGCTCAAGCCGAAGGCCCAAGACCTGTTGGAGGATGAGGGTGAAGCCAAGGACTTGGCTTCCAGAGCCTTGGAGGATGTGCTTCCCAAGAAAGGGGCAGGTGCAAGCAAACTGGAAGCCCTCGAGGACAAGTCTGATGATGAGGGGCCCAGCTCCAGCCAGAAGAAGAAGGATGACCATGTAGTTGAAGCTGACCTCCTTTCAGAGATGGGCAAAGCTGTGCCAAAGAAGGAGTGCCAGGTCAGGATCAGCAGAATGGTGAAGCTCATGAAATCAGTCAAAAAGGATGTGGGTGCTGAAAAAGGGCAATGCTTGGAGAAGATGGAGAAGCAAGGGGTTAAAGTGTTCCTTGAGGATGCCAAGGGCAAGCTCTTTGATGCAGCCATCCAGGTCAAGAAGGCCAAGAAATCCTGAGTGCATCAGCTGTGTTGGCCTTGCAAAAGGGCTTCATATCACCATCAAACTTTAGGCCTTGCAAAAGGGCTTCACGCACATTGTTGGGCCTTGCAAAAGGGCTCTGCTTTGGCATTGGGCATTTGTCTTGACAAAAAGGGCAGCTCAAACACACCACTGTGGGTTGTACAGTTGGAATGCTTGACAGAGAAGCTGTGCAAGCTTTTGGTGGCTAGTGCCACAGAACTGTTGCAAAAAGACATGTGTCTGCAGTTGCTTGGCTCTTCAACCAGCCATAAACAAACATAGGTCCTGCGAAAGGGCTTAAACTGGTCCTGCAAAAGGGCTTCAACAGCCATGGCCACGCAAAAATGGAAGAGAAAAAAGTATCAGGAACCTGCAGGAGCCCATGGAGAAGAAGAAGAGTTCTCACCCCTTGGCTTGTCTCTGTTGGAGCAGTTCGCCTCAGGGATGAATAAAAAGTGCCCCTTGGCAGCATCTAACTTGTGCAGGATGCTTGCAGGTCATTCTTGTTTAGACCACATGGTGAAGCTCAGGGGCCATCTGTCCAAGCTCTTGCATTGGCAGCAACCAAGAGTGGTGCCAACTCTGCTGATTTGCAGCAACTGGCTTCACTGGGGAACTATGGGAGGTCTTCTGAACACATAGCCTCCCAGATGATTCCGAAGTATTGAAGTCAGACAGCATCAAGCTTCCTGAGCCCTACTTTGTTGACACCCCTGTTTGTGTGAGAACTGCAGATGACTGGGTGCTATGTGTCAAGCCCGTGGCACTGTACCTGCCACATGGGTGGTTTGCATGGCTACAGCTAGAGGAGCAAGCTGCTGGCTTTGAGCAACTGGAGGAATTCTGGGAGAATCATCCCATGAGTGACCCCAAATTGGATGGCAATCCAATCATGGATGCTTCTTGGCAGCAGACTTGTTCAGCCCAGCTGCTTCTCACAAGCATTTGCCTTGGCCCAATATCTTGTGCCTGCCTGCTTCTTACCTAGGAAGGATGTGGCAAGTACCTGCCCCTCATTCTCCATGGGGATGGTGGTGCATTCCAGCGAGCAGATAGCATTCTGGCGCTGAGCATGCGATCACTGCCATCTTCATCCAGTGTAGCCCACAGCCAGATGCTCCCCCTAGCCCTTCCAAAGCCTGCAATCCACAAATCTGAGATTCTTGCTGAAGATACCAGGCATTGCCTCTGGTCAGTGCTGACCTGGTCAATGCAGCATATGTACTTTGGCAAATTTCCAGAGAAGGCTGCAGATGGCAAGGACTGGCAGCACAAGTCACCAAGGGGCCAAAAGGCAGGAACCCTGTTGAATTCCGCAGGGCTTTGCGGAATGATCTTTGCCATCACAGCAGGTGGCGAGTTCTTTCAAAATGAATACAAGCTGCCAGGAAGTTCCCATGCAGAGTGCTGTTGGGGCTGTGGGGCAAACAGGTCCAGTCACCCACACAATGACTATAGACCTGGGGCCAAATGGAGGGAGACCATCAAGAACCACAAGGACAGCAACCCCACAGACCACCTGATCATGACAGTGCCAGGCATCAATGGCTACACCTTGGCCTATGACTCTCTGCATATCTTGGAGCTGGGTGCTTCAGCCCACATTGTGGCCAACTTCATGCATGGTGGTGAAAGCAGAATTGCCAGGCAGCTCTTTTGAAGCCAGGTTGAAGGAACTTTTTAGAAAACTGTCTGGCTTATACAATGAGCTGGGCACAGACTCCAGCAACCACGTGAGAAGACTTCATTTGTCCACTTTCTGCCAGCCCAACAAGGAGTGGGACAGTTTTCCTGAGCTCTCAGGTGTGAGAGCAAAACAGGTGAGACGCCTCATCCCTCCACTCCTGGAACTCAGCCAGGATTTGGCTGATGAGAGCTCTTACAAAAAGCACAGGCTTGAGCGCATCAGGAACCTCAACAGAATGTATGAGGCCATGGAGTGCCAGGGGCTGCATCCTGATGAGTCAGCATATGAGCAGCACAAGAGGAGTACAGAGAAATGTTTACTCAACAACAGCAAGCCGGCCAAGATTGCAATCTCTCAGAACATTCTTCAATGGAACACTGCGCACAAGCACCACTTGGCTTGCCATATGCCAGAACAATTTAGTCACTTGAACTGCAGGTTTGTGTCAACATACTCTGGTGAAACAATGGTGGGCTTCATGGTGGCCTCTCTTGGGCACGCCTGCCTCACTGGCACTCCTCCACATTTGGTGCCTGCCTCACTGGCACTCCTCCACATTTGGTGCCTGCAAAGGTTGCTTGGAGATATAGATTGGGACTGCATCTGAGGGTGACACATGGTGACTTTGACCTGGTGGATTCTGAAGAAGAACTGTGAGTCCTGCAAAAGGGCTGCATTTGTCCTGCAAAAGGGCTGTCTATGGTCCTGCAAAAGGGCTACCAGCCTGACTTTGCTTTATTATCTTTATTATCTTTATTGTGCCCTTGAAAAAGGAAGCAGCTGTCTCAGCAACAACACATGCTGGCCACATGGCTGTGAAAAACTTAAGTTCGAAACCAACAAGGTCTGCACCTTCTAAACCAATAAGATCTTATTGAAAAAACAATAAGGGCTCTATTGGTTAATTCAACAGAGCTTTAAAAAGATGTAACGTTCTATTTCAATAGATTTTGATGTTTCTGTTGAAATATATCCCTACTATTGAAATATGCGTTTTCTATTGAATCTTTGCAATAAGGCGCACTCCGGGGAGTTGGCATGTGTCAAACCAAGAGTTACAATCAACATGACTATGCAGTTCACAGTTTGAAAACATTGAAAAAAATCTAGAAATACTGTCGAAGCTAAAGCCCAGGGCACATGAAAAAAAATGATTGGCAGAGGTGGTGGCAAACCATACAAAATCAGATTGAATAAACAAGCAGACAATGACATCCTGTCCCATATGTATTCAGAAGATGGGGTTACAGACAGTTGGAACGAAAGCGGCTGAAGTACATCCATGTACATCCCAATAGTTTGACGTCGCAATATGGTTGACTGAGGAAAGAACTATGTTGATTATGTTGGCAAAATTTTGCGATGATAGGACCCCGACACAAGCTGCTACCATGTCGAGCGGACAAAGGATGAACACGTCGGCCGTTGCCTCGCGGATCTCCGTGGCCAACGTCGCCAGCGTGAATCTTTCTGATATCTCCAATCCCTGAGATCTCTCTTAGTGGTGGAAGGAGAATGTTTAAACTCTTTATCATGCGGTGGCCTTGATAGGCTTCCCGCCCCTTTTTGAGCAATATCGCCAAGCTGCCAAGTCAAGAATTGTGTCACCAAGAATTGCTAAGAATTACAGTAAGTATAGCCTTTGAATTTGAATGTTCAAAATCCCAGAGATGACATTGATAGTGTCCGGCAGCTAGGCTGGAAAGGCCAGACCATAGACAGGCCGGACAGGCCGAACAGGCCGGACAGGCCGAACAGGACAGACAAACAGGCCGAACAGACCGCCCATTCCTCGGGAGCACCTGATACCTCACCCAGTGTCTCCACAACTGTACAGCTGCGCAGCATTGATTGTCACATGCCGGACCCTTCTTTGAGATTATGTCTCTTTGAGATTATGTTTCTTTTGAATCCTTTTGACAAATATCACGCTACAAGGCTCTTAATTAGACGTGTCTTGGCAGATGCACACTGCGCAAAACTTGTTTCAGCCGAAAGCGTTCCGGAGGTAGAGGCTTTCGCCAAGAGGTTCTTCTATTTACGAGCCGCACACCCGCTAGTCCCCGTCCACACTCTTTTTGTTTGGTCAACGGCAGTACTTCCATCTTAATATATTGCAGCAGGTTTCCGGTTGAGAATCGACATTCTTGAAAGATCTTGAAAGACTATAACAAGTACGCGTTTTGGTAGTTAATGTTGCGCTGGACCGAAGGGTGACTAGCAAAAAAATATTATATAAAAAAATAAGCCAAGTTGCCAATTAAGGTCTGCGCACAGATTCATTTCAACGAATTCAGCACAGTGTTCAGGATTTGGTTCTGGTTGGATTGGAGAGGGAGACCAGCTGTAGCTTCAGTGCTCCTTCAGTGCTCCTTTCCGACTTGACAGAGCATTCGCTCAGAACCAGAGTGCGCCTTATTGTAAAGATTCAATAAAGTTATTGGTTTAGATATCAAAACCAATAAGATCTTATTGAAAAAACAATAAGGGCTCTATTGGTTAATTCAATAGAGCTTTAAAAAGATGTAACGTTCTATTTCAATAGATTTTGATGTTTCTGTTGAAATATATCCCTACTATTGAAATATGCGTTTTCTATTGAATCTTTGCAATAAGGCGCACTCCGGGGAGTTGGCATGTGTCAAACCAAGAGTTACAATCAACATGACTATGCAGTTCACAGTTTGAAAACATTGAAAAAAATCTAGAAATACTGTCGAAGCTAAAGCCCAGGGCACATGAAAAAAAATGATTGGCAGAGGTGGTGGCAAACCATACAAAATCAGATTGAATAAACAAGCAAACAATGACATCCTGTCCCATATGTATTCAGAAGATGGGGTTACAGACAGTTGGAACGAAAGCGGCTGAAGTACATCCATGTACATCCCAATAGTTTGACGTCGCAATATGGTTGACTGAGGAAAGAACTATGTTGATTATGTTGGCAAAATTTTGCGATGATAGGACCCCGACACAAGCTGCCACCATGTCGAGCGGACAAAGGATGAACACGTCGGCCGTTGCCTCGCGGATCTCCGTGGCCAACGTCGCCAGCGTGAATCTTTCTGATATCTCCAATCCCTGAGATCTCTCTTAGTGGTGGAAGGAGAATGTTTAAACTCTTTATCATGCGGTGGCCTTGATAGGCTTCCCGCCCCTTTTTGAGCAATATCGCCAAGCTGCCAAGTCAAGAATTGTGTCACCAAGAATTGCTAAGAATTACAGTAAGTATAGCCTTTGAATTTGAATGTTCAAAATCCCAGAGATGACATTGATAGTGTCCGGCAGCTAGGCTGGAAAGGCCAGACCATAGACAGGCCGGACAGGCCGAACAGGCCGGACAGGCCGAACAGGACAGACAAACAGGCCGAACAGACCGCCCATTCCTCGGGAGCACCTGATACCTCACCCAGTGTCTCCACAACTGTACAGCTGCGCAGCATTGATTGTCACATGCCGGACCCTTCTTTGAGATTATGTCTCTTTGAGATTATGTCTCTTTTGAATCCTTTTGACAAATATCACGCTACAAGGCTCTTAATTAGACGTGTCTTGGCAGATGCACACTGCGCAAAACTTGTTTCAGCCGAAAGCGTTCCGGAGGTAGAGGCTTTCGCCAAGAGGCTCTTCTATTTACGAGCCGCACACCCGCTAGTCCCCGTCCACACTCTTTTTGTTTGGTCAACGGCAGTACTTCCATCTTAATATATTGCAGCAGGTTTCCGGTTGAGAATCGACATTCTTGAAAGACTATAACAAGTACGCGTTTTGGTAGTTAATGTTGCGCTGGACCGAAGGGTGACTAGCAAAAAAAATAAGTCAAGTTGCCAATTAAGGTTTGCGCACAGATGCGTTGTCTCAATCGCCAAAGCTCTCATCAAGCCTTCATGCCTTGCAGGGAACAGACTGACATGAGAGGCAGACGTTGCAGACTAGTGACCTCTATTCACAGAAGAGTCAAAAGCGGGCAACAGCGAAGGCTCTCTGATGCTCTTGGGAATGTTCAAACCGGCAACCACTAGTGGTGAAGGTGACTCTCAAACATGTTGGGCTGATGGTGTTTTTGGCGAGAAGAGATTCCGCATGCGCTGTCTGATTTACAACTGCTTCACGGAAGAGTACGAGAAAAAGAAGTGTTGTCAATGTTGATAGCTGATAGCGTTTGCATTCTTTCCTGCCTGCTGCTGTCGTGAAGTTTGCACCGCATCGTCAAGTAACAAGCTATTACAAACTTGCGTACCATGGCGTGCCCAACCAGATTCCAAAGTAGATCAGTTCTCAAAAGTGGCCAACACTGTATTGCGCCGTATTGCGCCGAGGATCTCATGGTTTGGCTTGCCGTGTATCGAGTCAAAGTAAAGGGCACCTGTTATGATCATAGGAGGTGCAAAGACATAGGCACCCTTTCTCACAAGCAAAAGGGGCATGCTTTCATACAGTTATAGTAGCTGCATGTAGCTGCCACATTCTGCCACCAGTATTGGAACAAGTATGACGCAGAACATATACAAAAATGTGAGAGGATTGTTGTCTCATGCTGTCTGACAAACCACAAATGTTTCGCTGCCTATGGCTATTCGCTTGGGCCAGGCTTCATGGTGGGAAGAAGTTATAGATTCCAGAAGGCCTTCAGTGGGTTGCAAGGCCAATAATTTGGTGGGCACGGGGCTCATGAGGCTAAGAAATGGCTCCGTGATGCTATAATTCAATATGATTCATCATGATTAAACATTGGCTGGATTTGGGGTGATTTATGGGAAGTTGTAATTTGGTCGGGTCCTGGGTGCTTGTGTTGCAGTTGGCATCGGACTCTTGGTTTCTAGGGAAGCTTGCAAGAAGGTATGCAGTTTTCCACATGTTTTTGCAGGATTTTGCAGGTAGAGGGGACCTTGCATCAGAGATCTCATTTGTTGCAAGACCAACAACATCCAACAACCGAATAGATAGAGAGGAAATGAGCAGAAGCCGAGACGCAGCGATGAATCAAGTTCAGCTCAGGTTTTGCTCACTCAAGCGGGGTTGCCAAAATGAATTCGCCCCTGGGGTCTCTGGCACACATTAGTCACTTCCTTCAACAACCTGGTGACTTCGGCCACTTGGCAAACAAAATCCAGGCCCTCCAGGCGCGCACGCAATTTTCAACAGCCGTGGACTTTTCCTTTGAAGATATTTTGAAGATTTTTGAAGCCGGTTTTCAAATTGTTTTCAACATTCTGAGGCGAAGTATGCCGTGGCCCGTGAAATCGCTTGGTCAAAAGAATGCGATGTGCAAATCCCGCGCATGGTGCAGTTCAGCCCGCAGGGACCCATCCAGATCAATGTCTAAAGAGCTACGATGTGCAGAGGACATTCATTTGTTGACCAAATCTCAGTGGGTGATTCGATGTGATTCGGGTTTGCTTTGGGTAATGGGAAGAACATGAAACGCACATGCAAACACAAGCAAGGTGTTTGGCCATCACTTGCAGTAACTTCATGAATTTTGGCTGAAGATGACTGCAAGGTTTGGGCTGCTCTTCAGAGAACCAAATGAATGATGTCAATGCAAAACAGGAAGG